CCCCTATGCATATAACGTCACCCCCGACACCGAGGACGGCGCACTAACCGGACAGACAAAAAGCGTACCACAGTGGGTCACGGCGTACTGCCCTCCTCCTCGATATCCTCGTTGGCATGCTCTATTATTTGGGTATCTCGTACGCACGTCGACCGAGATGATCACGTGCCCGCCAAAATACTCGACCGTCGACCACATCGTTCGTTGCCGTCCAACAAAACAAGGCGCCTCTCCAACGCAAAGAAGAGAGGGGAGGGCCCTCTAGACATCAAAATAGAGAGAGGGCACAGAACAACAGCGGCCAGTTCTTCTGAGGTGGTACTTGGTATCAAAAATCGTCAATAGGAGCCCCCCCCCCCCATGTTTCCGCTTGCCTAGCAGCTCTTCTGCGGGGCCAGCCGATAGTGACGGGACTGCTTAAGCTTCCCCGAACCAAAATTGCCTAAATACTGAGCTACGACAAAACCTCCACGCGCGTGTTCGATCTATACGCTTCCTAGGGTGTACGTGTTAGTTCATCGAGCCATAGCACACGTCCGCTCCACAGTGGCACGAGAGCTGACCGTCCTCCCTCTCGAACTTGTAATCGTACGTAATCTGCCCAAGTAAAAAAAAAGGAGGGGGGAGATGTATTTGGAAGGAGAAAATCAAACAAAAGTTTATAAAAAAAGGAGGGGGAAGATGCATTTGGAAGGAGAAAATCAAACAAAGCGAGTGTAGATAGAACTGGGGTTCCCTGCGAACCGGTCGGTCCTCAAGACGTTCCTGGCTGACCATGGTATTATTTTCATCCTGTTGTGTGGAAGTAGCAACGCCAGACATCATGTCGTGTGTTCCTGACTGGACCGTGCCGTTTCGAGACAGATCACCCATACCCTTCGCGTGCCGGGATACATGCACATACACCAACCCACCTCACGGGCCGCCTTACGAAACCCGCCTTGTACATGTAAACATAAAGGCACATCTACGATCAATAGTATGGAATGTTGGTGGAGATAATGCCAGCTGACGCGGCGGGCAAGCACCAAGAAAACGAGCCGAACACGCGACTATAAAACGAGCAACGGCCCAAACTAAAACCGCATGCAACCCCCCCCACCCCGGG